CCTGTTTTTATATATAACCCAGTGAATATAAACAGTTCTTGATATTTTTGTCCAAAGAAAGCAAATATATTCTTTGCAGTTTGTTTTTGGTTGGTCACATTTTTCTAATTCTTATACTGTATTTTATTCTTTTTCATTTTCTTGGAAATATCTAAAGCAAACATACGAAAATGTTTATTTGCATATAGATCAGTCTTGTAAATATTTTTAGACACATACTGATATTATTACCAATTTTCAGAAGTGAAGACAAAGAATTAAGGGAGAAAGCACACTTTAGACATTGTTAATTTATCCCCATGAATCCATCTGACAGAAATACTGATTTAGTGCATTTTCTGTAACATGTTACTTGACTAAAATATGGACTCTATGATAGACATCCTTGTGATGTTGAGGTATCAATCATTTCCTATTTTGAAATAGATAAGTAGACAAAATGACAGAGATATATGAGTGTTGGAAAAGGTTTATGATATGATCTTCTCAAGCACCCTTATACATACCTTCAAAGACTGCCCGCTTCATCCTCCTGAATGTTGGTGACAGGAGCATTAGCAGCCTTATGGGGCACTGAAATTTCAATTTTAAAAACAGATTACTACAATAGATATTGCATTTGGCATCAATCCCCTCATTTTATTGGAAATAACATACCAGAGTCAAAGAAACCAAATTAATGGTCCAATCCAGCTATAAAGCCTAATAACCACAAGGACAAGAACAGTAAACTCTCTATTTGTACAGTAGTGGCACTTTTACCTAGGGGAATATTCAACAGTTATCTAATTGAACTTAAAACCCTTTCTATGAAAGGAACTCATGAGCTTTACTTTAAACATAGCCAAATACACATGACTGGAGAGGTCATAGATCCTAGAGAAAACCTTATCACTGCCATATCTCTAGATAAATGAAATTTCTTGCTATATGCTAAATATGGATCCTTGTATTTACAGATAAGTATATCACACACCATTCATCAAAGAAACTTCTTTTTGCAACAGAGAGAGACTATTACAGAGTTCCACAACTGGTCATACACAGAGAGTACATATCTGAAAGACACGCAGTCCTAAGTGACACATCTACAGTGAAACTTGGCCATCTAAGGCTCATGGAACATAGTGGAAGAATGGGTAGAGCGAATACTAATGCATGCTTCAACTCTCAGCAGCAAATCTTCCTTATACAACAGAGTGTGGTGCACATAGTAGGCCTCAACTAGCTAAGTTTTAGAGAATAAGGGGCTGCAGGGTGTGTATCCCTGGATAGGACTCCTGTATTAAACCTTGCCCATCCATTGGCTCAGGGATCATTGTGGAAGAGGCAGCAGAAAGATTTTTAGAGTCAGGTTTGGTGCTTGAACATAAGGAAACAGAGGCTTTTGGGTCTCTGGAAACTTGCTCATATAAACTTACAACAATGGTGATAGCAAGCATAAGACCCAAGCTAACTCAATCAGACAAAACCCAGCATAGAACTGGGGAGATGAGCAGCAGGCCTCAACCTTAGCTAAGAATTATTGGCAACTGATTATTGAGGGATGAGTGAGAGTAGATCTTCTGTAAGGGAATGACTCTAGATAGGCTGACTAGACTCTAGTGGATGAACTGGACATGTGTGGACATGAGGGACATATGTGTATAAATTCATGACTGGAAAAGCCCTAATATATATGACAGAATTCATTATGTCAGGTAGGGGAGTATGGGAAGTGCAGATGGGGATAAGGGTTTCAACTTGATTAAGACAAATTATATTGAATGCACAAAACAAAAGTTCAAATGATTATACATTAAAAAAAGAAACTTGAGGGCTGGAAAAATCGCTCAGCAGTTAAGAACACTGGCTGTTCTTTCAGAAGACCCGAGCTCAAATCTCAACATCCACAAGGAGGCTGATAGCCTTCTGTAATTCCAGTTACAGGGGATCTGACACCCTCTTCTGTCCTCTGTGGGTGCTACACAACATGGATGCATTTACACACATGCAGCTATAACACTGCTACACATAAAATAAAAATAAAAAATTTAAAAAATAGTATTTTGTAATTTCCAGCAATAGATCAGACTTCAGGATTAAACAGCAGAGATTTATATCCAGGATGAAATGATGTGCAATCCTTTGCAGTTTGGAAATGGAATATTCTCAAAAAACTTTTGTGTTAAAGATTTTGGCCGAGCTTATCCCAATTGATTGGTGAGTAGGACTTCAGAAGTGGGGCCCAGCAAAAGCAAGTTAAGCCAGTAGTTGCCCTTGAAAGAGGCTCTGGGGCCAGGCCCTTCCTCTTTGTCTCCTATGCAGTTACAATGAGGTGTCCAGGCCTCCTTCACTGTGTTAATGCAGTGATGTTCTGTGCTACTACAGGCACGAAACAGTAAGACCGAAGGACCATGAACTAAATTTCTGGTATCATGAGCAAAAATGAGCTTTTCCTTTACTAATGTGATCAGCTCAGGGATTTTGTCACAGGGATGGAAAAATGACTAATTTAGGGCCCTAAAATAAATGAATAGCTCACTAATGAGCCATTACATTGGTAAATAACTAACCTCCTTTAAATGCATCATTTTGGTTACATTGAAAATCCAGAGCTCATTATCAAATTGTGAACATGAGTTAATTCTGAAACGCAGCCTTCTCTTAACAGAAGTCATAAAAATGAAGAAAGATTTTCCAATCATAACATCAAGCTGATGTACATATTGTCAATCCTTTTACTATCCTTGCTTAAGCTTATTAACAACTCATGACTGTGATTACAGGGATGTAGCAAATGAAGAGTAAATTTAATCTAGAATCCTTTGTGTATGTCTCATAGAATTTCTACTTAGGATACAGAAAGCCATGGATGCTTAATATCTCATTGGGATCAATCAGTAAACATGACCTACTCAAAGTTTGTCCTTTTGTTCTAGTTTTTCTCATTTTATTGTTTTTTAATAACCACGTACTTAGAAGAAGCATTTCATTACAACAGCATTGACATATTCAATAATAATTTTCTGATCTAAGATGTATCTTTTTCAAAATTGGCTATAAATTTTTAGGTTTACATTTGAATTGTTACAGTTATACAATATTTTATTCAGTATAAACCCTATAAGACATAAAATTAAATGAGGTTTTAACCTTTGTTGTAGTTTTAATTGGGTATTCCTGGCAAAAATATCTATGGGTTTAAAGTATAAATGCTGTGCTTTGATACCTATGGTAAAGTTGTATCATTTCTAATGCTGTATAGACATGGTTTTGTGCGATTTTAGAGTCCCACTTTATAATTAATGTATTAGCTTACGATCTGTGCTTTTAGTCTCAAAGTAAAAAAAAAAAAAAGTAATGATCTCTGTTCTCTTCCCCTTCCCTTGAAAGCAGCCTTCCCCTGGACCCATATTAATTTCCCAACTTTAGTGGGTAATCCAATTTAAACACACATATCCAAAGATTCAAAGCCCATAGAGAGAACATGTGGCATTTCTCTTTCTAGATATGAGTTATCTCACTCAGTAAGATAATGTCCAGCTGCATTGATTAACTTGCAAATGTCATAATTACATTTTTATTAACAGCTGAATAATATTTCATTCTGTTAATGTACACATTTTCAATACCCATTCATCTATAAATGGACATCTAGGCTGTTTCATTTCCTCAGTACTGTGGATAGATTAACAAAAAATGTGGGGAAGAAAATGCCTCTGTTGTAGGATGTAGAGTTCTTTGGGCACATGCCAAAAAGTACTGTAACTGAATTACATAGTAGATTTACTTTTAGACTTTTGAGGAATAACCACACTGATACCCATAGTGGCTTCACCAAATTGTGCTCCATTCCCCATACTGACAACAGTATTTGTTGTCATTCGGATTTTTTGTTTTTTTGCTTGCTTGATTTGAGAAACTCTGACTGGGGTAAAATGTTATAATGGGAAAATAAAGAATAATGGAGCTAGAAGAATTGTATGTGGTGAGGAATTGGAGGGCAGTGTAGAGGAGGACGTATGGGGGGGTCTTTTAAGAAAATCATATGGAAACCTACTATTGTAGAAGATTCTTCAAATATATACATATACAAAAAAGAGTCTAAGTGTGTTACCTTATATAAAATACCAGTCATAGATAACATATGTTATCGAATAAAAACCTTAGTGCCAAGAATGGGTTTTTGCTTTTAGAGCTGTTTTTCAGACCTTCAGACATTATACGCCATTGCCATTTCTATTTGCTACCCTCCAGAATTGAGTATCAGACCCTATTGTTGAAGAAAACACATACTTAAGACATACAACATGGAGAAATCAAGCTGGTACTAAAGTAGACACTTAATCCTTATTGGCTAGGTGTCATAGTGCTGAAAGGTGCTATTTGTGCTGTTGAGCAATAAAATTAATCATCATCTCCACTCACCTGTGAATCCTGTGAGTTGCATTGAAGATCACCTGGGCAAGATATTCCCAATGATACACCAATGGCACAAGTGTTATGGGAGTTACCAACCACATTCTATTGGATTTAATGCCTGCTCCGTAAGACAGAACACATATCTAGCATTCTTTGGTGCCAAGAATCGTGGATAAATAGGTCATAGAACTTAGGGAAATACCTATTATTATTATTCAGCTAAATGGGCATATTATTAAATGGACTCTTAATGACTTATTATGTTCATAGATTAATGTGTTTGTCAGCCCTCATCAGAGAAGCTACATTTGAAGTAGGTAATGATAAATATAGAGACATGAAACTGGCCAATGTACAGAGAATAAGAAACTTCAAAGTGACCAGCTGTAAATGGGGCTACCATATCACATCCCTTCCTCCCAAGGCAAAGGGATCATCACAGGAGGTGGAAAGATTATAAGGGCCAAAGATGGTAGACCATTACAACACACCAGTGCATTCTGGACACAAGGCAGTTGCTTATATGAACTGACAGCACTTGCAACAACATGAAAAAAAAAACAACCTGTGCAACATCAAGCCAGATGAAATCTCACCATGAAATCATGAGGTGGTTGTGAAGTCCCACACCTAGCTGAGGAACTATTGGCAGCTGAATTCTGCTTGAAGAAGGAGGGCCATTTTTCTTCTGGGATGCAGAATACAAGAAGTGATTCATGTTTCATTAGTGGGTCTTAAACCCATGCACACACTGGACCACTAAAAGAATCACTGAGTTTTTCAAAACTAGAGCACATAAATTTGGAGGGAAAAGTGACGGTGTGGATTGAGAAGGAATTTTAGGAGATGGAATGGGTGATTTGACTAAAGCCCATTATCTGCATTAGGAACTTTTCAAACAGTGAAAAGGAGAAAAAATTATACCAAATAAAACAAAATCCATGAAATAACAGAAAGCTCTTATAAAATATTTGAATTGAATTAATGATGATAAAAATATCTCAGTACTTACACATTTACATAAGGAAATTTTTAAATCATATATTTATTGAATTTTTGTGCATTTCATATAAACATCTTAACCAAATTTATACCCCTCTCCCATCTGCACCTCCATGGCTGCCCCCCTGGATTTCATGCATTCTGTCATATATATGAAGGCCTATCATGTCAAGTTTGTGTACCCACTTGTATCTCAGTACATATTAAACCACTGAAGTCAGGAGAACCTATCTAGAGTCACTCCCTTAAAAAAATATCGACTCTCCTTCACCCAGCAATAATCACCTGCCAATAGTTGTTTGAAAATGATTGGGGTCTGCTGCCCATTTCTTCAGTTCAATGTTGAGTTCATGAGTTTTTATGGGTCTTATATATGCTGACATCATTGCTATAAGTTCAGGAGAGCAAGTTCCCAGAGGCCCAGGAGACTTTGTTTCCCTATGATCATACATCAAGCGTGACTCTTAACTTTTTGTACTCTGTCCTCTAAAATGACTACTGATCTCATGGGTGGATGAGGTATAATATATGAATCCTATTTAGGGACATGCTCTCTGCTGTCTCTTCTCTACACTTTGACCAGTTGTGGTCTTCTGTGTGCATTGCCATCTGTTGCAAGAGGAAGCTTTGCTCATGAGAGTTGAGAGATGTATTAATATTTTCTCCATCCCCCTCTTGCACTATGTTCCATTATTCTGGAATAGAGAGGTTCTATACTAGATAAGTCACTTAGGACTCAGTTTCTCTCAGACATTTATTCTCCATTTGTGACCAGTTGTGGATCTCTGTAATACTCTTCATCTGTTGTAAAAAGAAGCTTCTTTGGTGGGTAGTGTATGGTAAATCAGTCTGTAAATATAATGATCCATATTTATCATATAGTAAGAAATTGCATTTGTGAAAGGAAATGACTGACTTGGGGTTTTCTTTAGGATCTATGACCTCTCTAGCCATGTGTATATAGCTATGTATACAGTATATGACCTCCCAATCAGAGGGCTTTAAGTCCAATTAGATAGCTGTTGATTACTCCAAATAAAAGTAGTACTTCTGCACCATTATAGTTTGTTCTGTGGGTCATTGTTGTGGTTACTAGACTTGAAAGCTGGGATTGGAAGATTTATTGGTTTTCTCTCTTAGCAGCTTGCAGAATATCCTCCAGAACCATGAGAGATAGTATTCAGGGTGGAGGCTTCCAGTTCAGTTTCAGCTCCATTGCTCCAAGTCTTGTGCAGAAAGAATGTCTTGCCTTCTGCAATACGGTCTTACCTTCATGTTCTGGAAGTTAATCAATGGCTGTGGCAATTGCTTGTGTTATTTTGGGAGTCTCTTAGAGCACCCTGACTAACAACAGGGAGGTTTCTCCTGTCTGATACTATGTTTCTTATTATATACCCTTCAGGTATGTACATGCACTCCTGTTCAGAAATTGTGTATTTTTCAATCAGATTTTGAGCTAATAAATTTCTTACTGTTTTTCACACCACCTAAGCTATATTTATTTATCATCTCTCCCTCCCTGTCTAACATCCCTCTGCCCTCCCCAGTTAAAGTACTCCTATTTCTCCTTGATAACACCTGTCCCCTTTCATCCCTCCTCCTTTGAACTCCTTCTTCTTCTTTACCCCATGATTCCTTGTATATTCTTCTCTCTTCCCTTCCCAATTGAATACCTCTGTTTCTCCCATTTCCCCCTTGGTATTATCTGTTTCCTATCATCCCTCTTTCTTGGACTCTTTCCTTCCCTTTACCTAAACACTTCCTTTCCATGTTCCTGGCTTCTGCAGCTTACTTCAGAATCAATACTTACATATGTGAAGTTGGTGCTAAGATTCACAAATGGGAGAGAATATATGTTGCTTGTTTTTCAAAGTCTGTGTTAATTCATTTAGGACAATAGCTTCTAATTCCATCAATTTACCTGCAAATTTCATAACTCTGTCTTTTCTGTCTTTCTTTACCACTGAGTAGAATTTCCTTGTGTAAATATACCATATTTTCTTTATCCATTTGTCAGAGGAAATCCAAATTAACAAAATCATAGATTAAAGGGGAAATATCACAATAAACACCAAAAAATCCAGAATATTATAAGGGAATAGTGGAAAAAAACTTATGTCCTATTAAATTTGGAAATCCAAAAGAAATAGATAGATTTCTAAATTTTGAAATCTATGCATTTCTAAATTCTTGGAAATCACCAAAGCTAAATCAAGAAAAAAAACAAAGCTCACACAAACCCATAACAAATAAGGAAATAATACAAATACCTCTCAACTGAAAATGCCCAGGCCAAGACGAATTCACAGCAGAATTCTATCTGACACTTAAAGAAAATCTACAACCAATGCTCCTTAAATTATTCACAAAGAGGGGGACTCCAAACTCCTTATCTGAAGACATCATAACTCTAATATCAACACTAGATAAAGACACAACAACAGAGGAAAACTATTGGCACATCCTTAATGAACACAGATGCAAAAATTTTCAAGAAAATATTCACCATATACAGACACACATAAAAATATTGTACACAATGATTGAGTCCTCCTTATTTAGAGATTCAGGGATGGTTCAATATATGTAAGTCAGTAAATGTAATTAAATCATATAAATGGACATAAAAACAAAAATCACATGGTTATCTCAATATATTTTTGCCTTTGACAAAATCCAACATGCATTTAATGTTAAAAGTTCTAGTGAGAATTTGACTGGATGGAAAATACCTCAACATAATTAAAGCTATATACAACAAATGCAGTCAACATCATTCTAAATGGATGAACACTGGAAGCATTCCCATTAAATGGAGAAATACTGGAGGCATTCCCATTAAATCAGGAGTGAGATAAGGCTGTTGTTCTAGTTTGTTTTCCCATTGGTATGACAAAATACTCTGACTAATACCAACCTGTGGAGGAAAGTGTTTATTTGGTTATACCCCATGGGTCACAGTTCATCAGGGAGCCCAAGGTAGGAACTCATGGCCAGAACCTGAAGGCAGGAGCTGAAGCACAGGCCATGGAGGAATGCTGCTTACTGGTTTGCTCCCATGGCCCATGCTCATCCTGTTTTTATACCATATAGAACAAACTGTCCAGCAGTGGCATCATGCAAAGTGGGCAGGGCCCTCCCAAATCACCCCAAAATCACAAAAGTACCCCACAGATATGACCACAGGCCTGTCCAATGGAAGCAATTTCCCAATAGGAGCTCTGTCTACCCAGATGTGTCAAGATGATAACTAAAACTTTCCATCACAAAGGACTCCTTATCAATTTGACACACATCACTATGAAACCACAACTTTTCCATATTTTTGTCCCTAAGTTATGTTAACAATACCACAACATAAGTGAGTGCAATCTTAAAAGTCCTACAGTCCTTAAAAACATCCAAAGTCCATAGTCTCTTTTCTGTGGGCTCCTGTAAAATCCAAAACAAGTATGGTTTTATTTCAAAAGGGAAGAATTGGGAGCACCTAAGCAAAACTTAACTCCAGCAAAGAAGATCAAGACTGGACATCTGTCACTCATGATCTTCCGGGTTCCAAAGTGTTTTGACCATTCCACTTCTCTGACTCTGCTGTCCACAGCACACACTACACATCTTGCAGGCCCAGGATAACACTGTCCACATCTGCTGCTGCCCTTGGTGGTCATCTCATTGTCCTGGAATCTCAAAAAACCTGGGGTCTCCACTGAAACTGAGGTTGCACCTTCACCAATGGTCTCTTACAGTTTCTCAGGGTTCAAAACCTCAGTTTCTCTCAATGACCCCTTCAGTGCTGGGGTCTTCACTGTAACTGAGTTTGCACTTTCACCAACAGCCTTTCCTGGCCTTCCAGGGTGCCAAACCACAGCTGTTCTCTGTGAACCCTTCATGCTTTCCATACCAGAACCATGCAGGAGACTCTTACACACTATCAAGTCCTGATGTCCTGATTCCAGGTTGAGATGGAGGCTCAGGCCCTCTCTGGACCACAGCTTTTGTGTGCAGGCCCTGAGGAAATACTTCTCAGAAGATTTTTTCCACAGAAATACTGATCTCTTGTTAATTACAGCTGATTTTTCAGCTCCAGCTAACCAGCATCAATTGTTCAAGTGGTTTCACTCCAGTGGTTCTGTTTTTTTCCAAATTACAGCTGATTCTTCAGCCATTGCTGAGCAGAACCCATAGATTTTTAAATTCAAGACATCTCACAAACAGCCCTGATAGTCTCAACTTCCATTTGAAGTTTTGCAAGTCAGGCCCCCATTGTCGACAACTCTTTCAGCATAACTGTTCCAAGTGCCTAAGCAACAAACTCTAAGTATTCTATGGCTTTTGCAGTCCAAATTTCCAAATGTTTCCATAATCCTATGGCACAACAATACCCCACTTCTGGTACCAATTTCTATTCTACTTTATTTTTCCATTTCTGTGACAAAATACTCTGACAAATACCAATTTAGGAAGGAAACAATGTATTTGCTTTACACCCCCCAGATCACAGGTCATCAATGAGTGAGCTTAAGGTAGGAATTCAGGGCAGGAACGTGAAGGCAGGAACTTAATCAAAGGCCACAGAGGATATCTGCTTACTGACTTTCCCCTGTGGTCCATGCTCAGTCTGCTTTCTTATACAATACAGAACAGCCTGCGAGGGGCTGGTGCTGCCTACAGTGGGCTGGGCCCTCCCACATCACTCAAAAATCAAGAAAATACCCT